CCCTGGGCACTATGGGTAATTTAGCACGGCCAATCCACCCTAACCTGGACACCTTTAGACTGTGGGAGGAATCCGGAGAAAACCCACACAGACACTGGGACAGAATGTGCAAACTCCACACACAGACAGTCACCCCGAGGGTGGAATCGAACCCGGGTTCCTGCCGCCGTGAGGCTAACCACTGAGCCACCGTGCGTTGTTTTTATTTAAGAAAAATGCCTTTCTCCCCGGGTCAAGTGAGCCGAGGTCCAATTTTAACGTCTCGCCTGAAGTGCCTGTGGCAGTGTAGCGTTCCATCAGTCCTGCGCTGGGTGGGGTCAGCCTTTCATTACTTACCGCGTCGCCCTACACTTTCCAAAGCGACGGGAATAAAATGCGCCCTTACGCGAGTTGTAGCCCAGACGGATGTGGGGGGTGGGGGGGAGCGAGGGGGGATTTGGAGCACAAAACTTGGAAGACTGGTGGAACAGGCTGAGTTGGTGAGTGCTGTGCAGGTTTCTCCTAAACACCCAGTGGTTTGGAATCGTCCCTCCCAGGCCCCATCCAGTGAAACCCATGGCCGCGGCCGAGCCCAAGATCCACGACGTGAGCTCGGAGGAGAACCTCAAGGCCCGCCTCAAGGTGGTGGACACCATCGCGACCAGACCTTCGACTGGACAGGCGGTGACCCTCGGCGAAAGGCTGACCACTCCAAAGGTGAGGCCGGGCTGTCCTTTGCGGAAGTTTCTGCCCATTCTCCACGGCGTGGGCTTTCATTGCGTCTAAGATCCGGAATTTCCAATCTTTCTCCGCTATTGAGAGCGGCAAGATCCTGGGAGGGGCCTTTGGGAAAGCGTGTTGGTGGGGGGCAGCAAGTGAGAGGACGTTCCCTCTGGTCTCCGAATGAGGGCCGTCTGATCGTAGATTGGGGGGGGGGGGGGAGGAGGGGGAGGAATGATTACACACCCTCCTAGAGAGGGTTTGGGGCTTGGTGGTGGGAGGGGGTGGTCTGCGTGGGGCTGGGTCATCATCGATTCCGGCCTCGAGTTCACTCAGATTTTTGAGGAGGGTGGGACAGGTGGGTGTTGCTGTCAGGATCTGACTGCAACCCCATCGAACGGCAAAGCAGGCTCGAGGAGTCGAATGGCCTACACCTGATCCTGTCTTCTATATACCTACCCCAGTGGATAGGTCAGACGTGCAGTAGGCACGCTACCAGCTGGATGTCGCAGAGGATCCTGTACTCCATCTTTCACAGTCTTCCCCTTTTTCTTTTAGAAAGAAAGGTTCATTTTTCTCGGTGTTAACGTTCCCGACGTGGGCCTGGATCCCGCGCTCTCGGAAGGTCGCTGGCGGTCCCTGTGGGAGACGCTGACTTCCCGACCCCGTTAACAGGGGGCTTGGGAGGTGTGCATGGGGGTTTAATTTCTGGCTTGGATGAGAGTGACCGTCTGCTTCAGCTCTTCAGCAAAGGCTCCTGAATTAGTGAGGGCCCCGTGACAGCGACCAACTCGGGTTGGGGGGGGAGGGGGGGGCAACACAGGTCAAGTCCAGGGGTAGGCAGAGGCCATTCAGCGTCCTCAACCCTGCTTCTATCGGTCCGTCAATATCGTGGCTGATCTAACCCCTTCCGCATTCCTGCTACCCCTCGTAACCTTTCCCTTCACCCCACCTAATCCCCCCAAGAATCTACCCACCTCGGTCTTAAATATTTTCAGAGACTGCTTCCTCCACATTTTCCCAAGAAGGAAGTTACAAAGGAGCTTGGTCCTTTTTTTTTTTTTTTGAAGAAAAAAAGTCTCTTCTCATCCCTGTCTATTTTTGTCTAATTTAACCTATTTCTGTCATCAACTTGTTCAGAAATGTTACTCCACAACCCTGGTGCAGGTGGGACTTGAACCCGAGTCTCCCCTGGTGCAGGGGCAGGGACACTACCACTGTGCCACAAGAGGGCCCTTCTGGTTTTTTTTTAATTCAACCTATTTTTCCAAATTAACCTGTTCAGAGATGATGCTACACGCCTCAGGAGCAGTTGGGACTTTAACCCAGGTCTCCCGGCCCAGGCTTAGGGGCGCTACCACTGTGCTACAAGAGGACCCCCACCCACCGTCTTTTTCTTTTTAAACAGTGACCCCTAGTTCTCGATTCTCTTGCAGTAGGAAGCATCTTTCTCCATATCTGGCCTCCGGATCCTTTATGTTTTATTTCCATCGCCTCCGACTCTTCTAAACTCCGGAGACTCCCATCCTAGCCTTTCCTGACATGGCAATCCACTTGTTCCAGGGATTAGTCTACTAAAATGTCTCTGGACCGTTCCCAATTCGCCTGCATCCTTCCTTAAATAGGGAGACCAGTGCTCAACTTGATTTGTTCATTGTCACGTGAATCTTGTTACAAAAAAATACAGTGAAAAGTCTTGTATAGCGTGGCCAGTCTCCGGCACCATTTTGAAACGCAGAACACCCTGCTGGGCTAATTGTAAAAGGTGCAATGGCATTATTTTGTTGAAGAGAAGGAGAGCTCTCCCCAGTTTTGGTACCAACGTTTATCTCTCAGTCAACATGACGATGAAATTGACTTACCTGGTCGCCATCGGGTTGCTGTTTGTGGGAGCTTGCTGTGCAGAGCTGGGTTACGTCACCAAAGCTGTGGAGCAGACACTCTGTATAGAAAGAGGCCATTTGGCCTATCATGTCTTTGCCAGCCCTCCGCACCCACAATCCGTCCACACCTCTCTGCAATCCTGCTACGTTCTTCCTCTCTCAAAAAAAAACGTAATTTCTTAATGGATCCCCCAAATCTCCACTTGGCCATGTTCCTGGTAACTATAGGTGAGTTAACTTAACGCCTGTCAATGAAGGGATGATGTTAGAGTCTATTTTAAAATGTACCGCGTTCAAATCTGGTCTCCCTGCTACAGGAAGGATGTTGTTGAACTTGAAAGGGCTCGGAACAGATTTACAAGGATGTTGCCAGAATGGGAAGGTTTGAGCTACAGGGACAGGCTATTTTCCCTGGAGCGTTGGAGGGGTGACCTTATAGAGTTTTTATAAAATCATGAGGGGCATGGATAGGATGAACAGCCAAAGTCTTTTTCCCCAGGATAGGGGAGTCCAAAACCAGGGGGTGTAGGTTTAAGGTGAGAGGGGCAAGGGAGCTGAGGGGCAGTGCTTTCACACAGAGGGTGGTGTGTGTATGGAATGAGCTGCCAGAGGAAGTGGTGGAGGCGGGTACAGTTTAAAAGGCATCTGGATGGGGACATGAATAGAATTTAAAGGATACGGGCCAAATGCTGGCAAAAGGGACTAGATTAATTTAGGATATCTGGTCAGCACGACAAATTCTTTTCTGAACCCTTTCAATTTTAACAACATCCTTTGGTGCTGCACAACTCTATGATATGGCTCTTACAAATATATAATCTAAATCAATTAACCAGCACGTCTTCTGAAAGGGGAATTCATGTCTGTTAAAATACATAATCATTCTTTTGAAGAGGTAATTAAAGGAGAGCCGGTAGAATGATACATTTGGATTTTTCACACTGAATAAGGTACCACGCATTAAGTGACTCAGGATGGTAAGATGCCTGTAGTGTTGGAGATATAGACTGGCAAGGATGTAGGATCAGTGAACTAATGGGGTAAGGAGGATATGTTCAGGATTAAACCTGTAACTAGTGGAGGGCCACAGGGATCAGAGCTGGGGCTATAATTATTTATAATGTATATTGATGAGACCAAAATAGACGGGAAAATACAATGAAGATGCCACTGGCTGTAGCTGAGTGGGCAGAAACTTGGCAGAATACAGGGTAATGAGGTGCTGAACTTTGGCAGGAAGAGGAGAGGAGCTGCATGTTGTTTAACGGTGGCAGGAAGAGGAGAGGAGCTGCATGTTGTTTAACGGTGGAGACTGCAGAAAGATAACGGCACAGAGGGATTGGGGAGTCCTTGTGCATAAATCACAAATCTATTTCCCCTCAGGCGGCCATGAATCTGAGCAATTCTTCCCTGGAAAGAGAGCTGCAGAACTTGGGTTGTCCAGCATAGTCGAGGCTGAGATACGGATGTTTTAGTCTGGCCGGGAATGAAGGGTTAGGAGGAAAGGGCAATGAGGTGAGACTCGGGGATGATTTAAGTCAGCCGGTGGGCTGAAGAACCGTCTCCTGCTACATCTTGTGAAAAGTCTTAATTTGAAAGTCATTCTGACCCTCAGTTACAGAATTTAGTTTTAAACCTTGTTACTAAGTATTTTTCTCCATCTTTGGGAGAAAAATAAAATGTGCAGAGTTAAGGGGAAAAGGCAGGTGTTTGACGGCAAGTTAAAAGACACTCTGCAGTGCGACATTTCTCTGATATTTAAAAAAAACAAATCGTGTGTTGTTGAGTTCAACGTCTTTCTTTCCTCTCTCCCTGTCCTCCTCTCCCTCTTTCAACTCCCTTTTCCCCCTCTCTCTCCCCCCCCCTTCCCCCCCCCCCCCCCCCCTCCTCCCTCCCTCTCTCACCCCGTTCCCCCCCTCTTCCGACTCCCCACCCCCTTCTCTCTCCCCCGACTTCCCTCTCTTCTCTCTCCTCAATACTTCCCTCTCTCTCTCCCCACTTCCCTCTCTTCTCTCTCCCCACTTCCCTCTCTTCTCTCTCCCCACTCTCCCTCCCCCCCCCCTCCCCTCCCCCCCCCTCTCGCCCCCTCTCTCTCCCTCCTTCTCTCTCCCTCCCCCTCCCGGCTGCAGGAGTATGACCCATCAGACCCAGCGGCTGCCTACACCCAGCTCACCCACGATGAGCTGATCCAGTTGGTCCTGAAGCAGAAGGAGATCATCTCCAAGAAGGACTGCCATGTGCAGGAGCTGGAGAACTACATCGATAACCTGTTGGTACGGGTGATGGAGGAGACGCCCAGCATCCTGAGGGTGTCCTACCAACCCCCCAGGAAGGCCGAGCGAGTGTGACTGAGGGTGGGGAGCTGACTCCCACCATGTTGATACCTGAATCATTACATACCCTGGCTTTGTAACAGACCCTGGGGCTGGAGCGTGGTTTGAGTTTTATCAGTACTGCTGCCTGACCTGTGTCGAATGCATTGGGGTTTGAACTCCTGCTCCCCTCCCCAGTCCAAATCTCCTCCAATACCCCTCTGAAAGCACGGCTCATCATGCCCCCCCCCCCCCAACCCGAAACAAACACTCTCACTGCGAGTTGTTCTACCTGACCCAACTCAACCTCCTCGCCTGCAATCCTGGAGCTGAGGGGTTAGGATCAGACAAGAATCGTTCTCCTGTAGAAACACTCAAATTCGGAGTTGGTTGTGGGGGTGGTGGGGCTCCTAATAATTATCTCTTCCCAACCCCCCCCCCCCGCCCATTCTTACTGGACCTGTAACCTTTGACTCCTGTGACCTACCAAAGCTTTTGTAGCTTTCTGCATCTCGGAAAGTGTCTAGGGTTTTGTGAGCAAGAGGGACATTTTACAGTCTGTACATGAGCAAATTATTTTTTCTTAGAAAAGTGTGTCTTTAAAAGGTCTAATTTTTAAAATGGGTGAGTATTGATTGGTTGCCTGGGAGCTGATTTTAGTGTCCACTTTACTCCAATGTGAATCTCTTGGCACTTCTCCTTCCCCACTGATCTTTCTCAAATCCAGTGCCTTTCTCTGTAAATGAAGGCAGATGGACAGTGGTCAATGTTTAATAATACGTGTTTGTCCTGAATTTTTTTTTTTGAGGATGCCCAATTTTTAAGACTTTGCTGACTAACCTTTGTCCTTCACCAATCTACTGTCTGAAAGGGGTGTCTATGTATATCTGTCGGGAAGAGAGTTAACTTGCTGTAATAGCCAGTCGCAGCAGTGTGTACGGTCTACAAGATGCACTGCAGCGTCTCACCGAGGCCCCTCAGACAGCACCTTCCAAACCCACGACCCACTTCCATCCAGAAGGACAAGGGGCAGCAGGTACATGGGAACACCGTCCCCTGCAAGTTCACCCTCCGAGCCCCTCACTATCCCTGACTTTGGGAAATATATCGGCCGTTCCTTCAGTGCCGCTGGGTCAGAATCCTGGAACTCCCTCCCTGAGGGCACTGTGTGGGGGTCCCTACCCCACACAGACTGCAGCGGCTCACCCCCACCTTCTCAAGGGTGGGGGGGAAATTAGGAGGGAATGGGGCAATAAATGGAGACCTTGTGAAAGAATGTTTTGGAAGAAAAAAATCAAGTGCTACAGACCATGCCCAGATGGGATGACAGCTATGAAGTCCTGCTGTGAACAAATTGACCTTTGAACCTCATTGATCTGGTAACTAATTTGGAGGGTCCCACTGTAATATAATGGATTTGAGACTGTAATTTGGAGAAGTGTGGGGTCGGTCACTGTGAAAAGCCTTTATTAAAGGTACTGAAATTTTTTTAAAAACTTTGCGCAAAAAAAAAGAGGTTGGGGCGTCCAGCCTTTATTTGCTTACCGGACTCATCCAACCTTTCTCCTCTCCGGGCCAAATTACTTTTGGCGAAAAGCAGACAGTCCTTCAACAGAGTTTAGGGCTGGTGTTGTATATTTCAATGACTATAGATTGTTTTATATAACTTTAATATATTGAGGTTTACAAGTAGTTGCAGAATCCCCACAAATACCTGATGCAGGATGGCGAAACTTTTGACTTTTTTGAGAAGCATCGAAACTTGCTTTCCAAATGCTTGTTGGACAAGGGCTGAGAGCCTCCGATGGTCTGCCTCCCTGACGCTGGGACCTTCGGGCCAAGCCCCGCTACACACCCGCCTCCCTATCTGCCCTGAACGTAACAGCGCGGATGCGACCGGTCCAGCTCTGGTTTTAATTCAAGGCGGGCACCAATGGGACAGAACCAAGACAGCATCTCGTAAACACTGTGCAGAGAACTGATCGGGATCGGCCGCTCAAAGATTCTGCTCCAAGGGGGCACCCTCTGACTCTCAGCCCGCTCCGCAGCAGAAAGCTCATCTTGGGTTAGGCGGGCAGTTTGGAGCGTGAACTGTTTCTAACGCCCGACTTCTCCTATCCTCTTCAAAAGTTTTCCCCTTCTCACTGCGTTCCTGCTTTCCGCCCAGCGATCCGAGGTGGGGAAGGGACACGCAGGAAGGACCTTCCTGTAATCGGAAGAGTTTGAGCCCTCGTGTGAAAACGCTCATGCGGTCGAGGTCGAGTGCTTTAGCAACGTAGACGTGTGCAGATGCTTGTTACAAGAGATGGGAGAGAGGGAAAGGTTTCTACAGTAACTTTTGAAGAGTCGGTGTCTGAAATGCTCTCTCCCTGTTTGCAGATTTGTTCTGCAAAGGGGTCTGGGCGTTATGGGAGCATCACTGTGAGTGCAACTGTACAGTCTGGGAGAGCTCGAGTGAAAAGCACTGACCCCTTTATTCCCCGGGACACGCCGCATGGATTGGGTTTGCCAGTCAGAAGGCCTCCCAGGTGTCCGAAGTTCTTGTACTGTGCGAGAGGAGGTGCGCCAAGTGGGCTGGGCGAGAGGTGTCACCCCGCCGAACGCACCAGTAGGATGATGACCAGCAGTTAACTGCCAGGCCCCGCTTTCAGTTTTTAAAGCGGGCACGTTGGTTCTGACTGGTTGAGATGTTGCCTCTAAGGAAGGAGCCATGGAGTAGCTGTTGCCTGCTCAACTCCTGAGGAGTGGGCTTCGTGGCCGTAAGAGTGCGAGCCAAGGGACTTGGATATAAATGCGTCTTTCTTCCCCGCAACACCAAAAGGAAAGAGAATGGGTGACGTAACCTCATCCTTGTGTTGCCTCTGCAAGGGATTAAGCCAATATGATGCTTGACTCTCACACTAAGACCTTTTGACTTGGTCCTTCCTGTCACATGCAAACGAGAACTTTCCCCATTCCTTATGTGAATGGGGACAGGGTGACACCAAAGGCTGATCCAGTTGAGTGCCTCGTCATTTTTTTTTTGATTAGAACACTATTATGTAGGGGTAACAGACAACACGAGCAGCTACCGTTCGTGTTGAGAGCTAATGCCGTGTTGGTTCTGGGTGTGGTCTCCCACCTACGTGTTATAATGCAGCCAAACCCTGTTTCAGGTCGCTATAGTGGGGCCAGCTTACCCCACCACCCCGGCCTGTGTCTCGAGGGGGTAAGCCACGTGTGCTGCTGGCTTTTGGGGTCAAATACTGGCATAGACCCCCCACCCCAACCACCCTGTTCAGATCGAGGCCTGACTCCTGCCCTTCTGAGGAGCAATGCTGCAGGGACTGGCTCGACCGTTTCCTGCGATGAGGAACCTTTCCACAAGTTTACTTAGGCCTGTTTTTAAAAACCTCTGGTGGATGTTGGCTGGCATGGGTAGGGAGACTGGCGCAGGCTGTTCAGCGATTTCTGTGTCATCAGTTGAGTATGCGGGTTTCCTGTACATAAAGTATGAAAATAGCAATATCCTTCTTTCTCTCCAGTTTGATTTCTTTTTTCCTTGTGTGCATCAAATGATTGAATGTAAAAACAAAATTAACTGAGATTGTCAGCTGCGTGGGACACGTTTGATAATTTGACTCCTGATCAAAATAAACTTCCTTTTTTTATACTTGCAGTGTCTGGAGTTTTGAGTTCTCAGCAATGCTAATGTTCATTCTCCCCTTCTTTCTCTGGTGTAACCCCTGACAGGGCACGAGATGGTCTGCTGATTTCTGAATATTGGTGAATACCTCAGATTTAATTATGTTCAAATGGAGGTCATGTTGCGGCTGTACAGTACACGGCGTGCGGTTCTGGTCGCCCTGCTATAGAAAAGATGTTATTAAACTAGAAACAGTGCAGAAAAGATCTACCAGGATGTTGGTGGGACTAGAGGGTTTGAGTTATAAGGAGAAGCTGCATGGGCTGGGACTTCTTTCCAATGGAGTGTAGGAGAATGAGGTTTATAAAATCATGAGAGGCATAGCTTTTCCCCAAGATAGGGGGAACCCAAAACCAAACGGCATAGGTTTAAGGTGAGAGGACGAAGATTTAAAAGGGACCTAAGGGACAACTTTTTCACACAGAGGGTGGTGCGTGTATGGAATGAGCTGCCAGAGGAAGTGGAGGAGGCTGGTACAATGACAACATTTAAAAGGCAGCTGCATGGGTACATGAATAGGAAGGGTTTAGAGGGATATGGGCCAAATGCTGGCAAATGGGACTAGATTAATTTAGGATATCTGGTCAGAATGGACGGGTTGGACCGAAGGCTTTGTTTGTGTGCTGTGAGGATTTAGATGTGCACTCGCCATTCAAAGATTATGGGGCGAGTGCAGGGAAACGGGATTAGAGTAGTGAGGTGATTGATATGGACTGGCGCAGAACCGATGGGCTGAAGGGCCTTTTTCTGGGCCGTGCACCTCCATACCAAGATTGATTTCTTGCCCCTCGGGAGCAGAAGGCTGTGGGGGTGACCAGATGAACATCATTTTTTAAAATATAATTTCAAAGATGTCTGACAGGGTAGATGTAGAGACTTTGCTTGTGCGTGGTGGGCTTTGCAATGTAACTAGTCACTCGAGTACACTATAACCCAACAAGTATATTTGGCAGGAATTGAATACAAGGATGTTTTGATACGTTGGAAGAATGGTTTTTGAAGACAGTAAGCACCAACATGGATCAGTTGGGCCAAATGGCCTGTTTTGTGTTGTCACTTATTTGTGCTGTGTATTGCAACAGCTCCCAGACACGTGAAGCTGGTTCACATAGAGAATGTACACGTCCTGCAATTTAGCCTTAAGTATAGGCTCAGCTTAAAGAAAAGTCTGGCTAGGCAACTGTGCAGGGGCTTATTCTGACCTTTTGAGCCCTCCCTCACCTCTCCTTTGAATTACAGAATCCCTCGAGCGTGGGAAGAGGTCATTCAGCCTGTCAAGTCCTCACTGATCCTCCAAAGAGCATCCCACCCACACTTGCCCCCCCACTACCCCGTAGCCCTGCATTTCCCATGGCTAACACAACTAGCCTGCGTGTTGGTGGACACTAGGTGCAATGTAGCGGCTTTGGACGGTGGGAGGAAACCCACGCAGACACGGGGAGAACGCGCAAACTCCACACATACAGTCGCCCGAGGGTGCAATCGAACCCGGGTCCCCTGGCGCCGTGAGGCAGCCGTGCTAACCACTGAGCCACCGCGCCACTCCCACCTCCCCCTGGAGGTCGGGCCTGTGTGGGTAGCGATCGGCCTCCAGCACCTTTTGATGACAGGCCGCACCCTCGGGCACCCCAGACGTGATTGTTACGTTTCAGACAGTCATTCAAAGACTCTCTGCTGCCTTGTAACTGGTTGGTGTGATCACACACCTCCAGGGTCTGATTAATCCCGCATTCCAACATGCCAATTTAACCTGGAGCAGCATCCCAGATAATTCCGAGCTCCTAGAGGTGAACTGAACCTTAACTGTGGGGTTGGGAATGGAGGGGCATGGTTTGTCAACTTCAAATCAAAATTTCTCCCAGGCCAACTTCAGTGACACTAAGTCCCCCCGTCTATCCAACTCCCAATGACATTACATTTGTCTTAGGCCCTTCTAAGCATATTCAAGGCTGCAATGGATTTTTTTTTTGTTACTAAGGAAGGGGAATGGAGAAAACAGGTTGAGTTTTAAGGTCTTAGGTTTCTTTGGGAATGCCCCATCCCCCACGTAGCTTGTGGTCACCAGGCAGACATGGGTGATGACTGAGACAGGCCTGACATGCAGCCTGTTCCCGTTGTGTGGGCTGTGGGTCTGGTCTGTCCCCACAAACAAAGCAGAGAACACATGGCGTCTGTCTGGCTGAACCACGGCAAGGGGTAAGGCCTTGTCGGAGGTGTGTGCGACCGGGATGAGGTAACCTTCAGACGTTAGCATGAGCAAATCAGCCCTCTCCTCCTCACTGGGCGTGATTCCCAACAACCTGGTAAAACTGTGGTGGGGGGGGTGGGGGGAACGCTCTTGTGGTAGTGCCCCTATCTCCAGGCCAGGAGGCCTCAGGTTCGAGTCCCACACACTCCAGAGGGGTGGGTCTCAACACCTCATGAATCAGATCGATCGCAAAACACCCTAAAACACCATGGGCGAGCTCAGACGTTTGTTCATCTTGGCTTTGAGAACCTAAATTCTGCGTGCACTGCATTTTCCCAAAGGACTGACCACCTTCAGACAGTTCACTGTTAAAATAGGCCATAAAATGTAGGAGCAGAATTAGGCTATTCAGCCCATCGGGTCCTGCTCTGCCATTCAATGGTGGCTGATGTGTTTCTCAGCCCTTCGAAGGTCCCGGCCTTGGCTTCCCCATGATCAAAATTTTTCACCGGTCTACGTTCGCCGCTCAATGAACAAGCTTCTCCCGTATCTCAGCCTTGCGTTCCTGAACTGACCCGACCTCAGTCTCCTGCCTCTGCCCTTTGTCGGATCTGCTCCTCTCCCAGCGCGAGGCCTAGAGGCGCATTCACCTCCTTCCCCACCCCCCGCCACTCCTCCTGTGGGCTTTCCCACCTGCTTCTGCTTCAGCTCAGCTTTGTAGATGTGTGGCTCCCCTCAGTGAAGGCTCAGTGGGAGGGTTATTCACACTCTGCAGCAAACAGCCCAGTTCACTGCTGCGGGCTCGACTCTAACACACAGCGAGGACGTTTTCGCCAAGCTCACTGCAGGAATTGCTGAGCTGTGGACTAATTAATGAGCTCCTCATTGACCCTCAGGATGCCAATGTCTATCATTCATGGGTGTGATTTTTTTTTCTTCTTTAAAATGTTTGTGATGATGGCATCGCTGGCTAAGTTAGCATTTACTGCCCATCCCCAATTTCCCAGAGGGCAGTTACGTACCAACCACGTCAACTGTGGGTGGTCTGGAGTCACGTGTAGGCCCAGACCAGGGTAAGGACGCTCTCTCTCTCCGTGCAAGGGGGAAGCGATGGCCTGGTGGTATTATCGCTGGACCATTAATGCAGAGTGCCAGGTTCGAATCCCGCCACGGCAGATGGTGGAATTTGAATTCAACAAAAAAAAAGTCTGGAATTAAGAATCTAATGAGGACCATGAATCAGTTGCTGATTGTGGGAAAAACCCATCTGGTTCACTCATGTCCTTTAGGGAAGGAAACTGCCATCCTTACCTGGTCTGGCCTACATGTGACTCCAGACCCACAGCAATGTGGTTGGCTCTTAACTGCCCCTAACGGACAATAAATGCCGGCCAAGCCAGTGACGCCCTCATCCCGTGAACAAATTTGAGCCTTGACAGGTAGGCCGAAGGTTGATGCTGAAAGAGACCAGGTCAGGACTGAGCTCTTCTGGAACAATCTAGAGGAGGAAGGGAGGAGAAGAGGTGGTGTGAGTCATCTGGGAGGGGTGAAGAGGAGGTGACGACTCCAGAGCAAGTCTAGGCGGGGTCCCAGTTGTCTCTTTGAAGTACCTGGCCCTCATCCTCCTTCTGTACTCTGACACTCGCACCAACCCCCTTGTAGCGTCTGACCGTCATTCCCGCTCACCACCCTAAGCCATGGGCCCGAACCAAATCCAAAACCCCCCACCCTGAGTTGGCATTGCAGCCCCTCTCAGCGCCCACACCCCTTGGCCAACTTTTAGCCTCCCTGCCCTGAAAAGGCCTGAGATGTCCCATCATGCTATTGAGCTTCACAGCAGGGCCAGGGCACCAAGCCTCCCACTGCTGATTCGCCTGTCCGTCTTGTCTCTCTCTCTCTCTCTCTCTCTCTCTCTCTCTCTCTCTGTCTCTCTCTCCCCCACCCCCACAGAAGGCCCCTTGTCCTAGGTGCCCAATGGGTGGTGCCAAGCAGTTTCCTGAGAGAAAGGGCCTTGCCTGCTGAGCCTTTCCTTGTGTGTGACTCAATACGGAGGGCGGCCTGATTATACTTGGATGCCAGCCCATAGTCCAACCTCCAACTCCGATGGCATTCCTGAAGAGCAGCTCTGTGGCACAGTGGTGAAGGTCGAGCCGCTGATACATGACAGGGCGTGACCCTTATCTCACTGGCAATGAAAACATTAAGAGATCGTTGGACCGGGGAGCAGAAAAGGCTTTTACTTTCGATACCAGGGTACTCCCAAGACTGGTGACTGGATTTCGGCCAATTCCTGTGGGCTGGTGGTGGGATTGGGAGTTGGAAATATGAAACCCAGACTCTGTGGGGGAACCCTCATGCTTTTCCAGAAATTGACCTATTACAGTGGCAGATTGAGGTAGGGTGGACAAACTATCTACATGGCCAATAAGATTGGCACCTATTATACTCGTTCCCCCCACCTGCACCCCATCTCCACCTGCTTCACAGGCACTTTTTGAAAAGCATGTTGTGTGGAGGGGCGCACAGCAAATGGCAACCAATTTGTACACAGCAAGCTCCCACAAACAACAGTGTGACACCAATCGCATTGAGGTATGTTTTTGTGATTTGATTGAGGAGTAAATGTTGGTCGGGATTCCAGTGGGAATACCCCTTGTTCTCCTTTTAAAAATAGTGTACTGCGAAGGCCCCAGATTGGAACAGCCATTAAGCACCCTTGCACTGCAGGTAAAGAAAGAGAAAAGGTATCCTCTCTTTCAAAATAGCATCATGGGATTTT